GTATTTTTTTTTTAATGCATCCTGTATGTTAGCCAAAATAAGAACTATAAGTAGATCCTCCCCTCGCCCCCTCAAAAAAGAAAAAGCGCCAGCCAGATAGCTCAGTGGACTAAAACACCTGCTTAGGTAGGAGCAGGGACTGGCCTGCTGTGCCAGCCCCACCTCTGGGGCACACTGGGATAGTGATTGAGACTGGACATGGTGGTATGTGCCTATAATCCCAGTGCTTGGGAGGCTGAAAACAGGAGAATCGCTATGAGTCTGATCTACATAGTGAGACCCTGTCCTAAATATATTTAAAAAAAGAAAGAAAAGAACTACAAGTAGATTTCCAGGATAATCCAATGGAGGTTTTGTTGGGAAATGTACTATGGCATACGAGAAAATCTTCAGCTGATCGAGGAGTGTCAGAGTGATGCTTATAATGAGTATCAGCAGATCATATACTTGCATTTTTGTACCTTTCAAGGACCTGCTTGAGCACTTTCATATTGATGAGGACATGATGGAGGCAGATCAGTGTGGAATCATTGGGACTGACTGTAGGGTGGTGTCATCTGGCATAGGTCTGACTTTCAAGCCAACTATGGCAAGAATATAGCTCCTGGAGGAGCAGAGGATATCTGAGATATTTGCAGTTGTCTTGGCAGTAGCTGGGGGCACTTTGAGTTAAGCAGTTGCTTAACAATGCTAAATATCTTCCTAAAAATGGCAGGATGGAAACACTGACTACCATTGCTATTGAATCATTTGGAAGTCTGGCACAGTTGATCATGAAACCTTGGAGTTTAGAAATGTGGGGAATATCAACAATGGAGCCCACACACTCTCACATCTTTGCCCTGTCAAGCATGATTTCCCAACTGCTCTTCAGAGAGAAGGCATCAACACCTGAATGCTCTGGAGAGGGTGAGAGAAATAGTTCTTGTCAGCATGGCCTGGAGGATGTTCTGATGTAACCTCTGGGTTGCTGTGAGGGCCCTTGAGCTAGTTACCTCAGTCCACCCCTGAGGAGACAAGAAGGTAATGATAGGTGGGGACTCACAGTTGCCAATCAAGTCACTTTTGGCCCTAAGAAAGAAAATAGTAGGTGTGGCAGTTACTTAATGCTGAGACAAAATACCCAACACTTAGAAGAGCAAAGTTTTATTATAGCTCAGAATTTGTAGAGGCTTCAGTTCTGACTCCCAAGGCAGGGTGGTATGGCAGAGAAGAAACAGTCCATGGCAAAGCAAGGCAGGTAGAAAGCCCAAGAAGCAAGTGCTAGCAATGGCCCCCTTTCTGTTCTTTATATTCCTTTCAGGCTGTCCACTCTTACTAGGGGTCCCAACACCATACCATTAATCCCAGCATCACATTCTTAAGTTCTGTATCACATCTAGACCAGCCAACTTTGAAAAACTCCACCAGTGACCACATGAGGCTTTGAGAGGGTATCTAGATACAAGCCATAGCATTCTGCCCCTTGCCCCCAAAACACATGTACCTCCCTATGTGCATAAGGCATTTAGTCCATCTCCAAGAGCTGCTAAGGTCCTTACTGTTTCAGCATTGCTGAAGTCCAACTCAAAGATTTAAGGCCAACTCTTAGCTGTGAGTCCCTACACAAATGAAAAGAGAATTAAACACTTCCAACATATAATGACACATGAAAACTATTACATTCCAAAAGGTAGAAGGATAGAAAGTAACAGGTCCGAAGCAAATCCAAATTCCAGCAGGGCAAACATTAAGTCCTGTAGTTGCATGTCCTGTAGTAGCATTTTGCACAATGTGTGGCAAGATGTGAACTCCAAAAAGCTTGGTTGGCTCAGCCCCTATGGCAGTCAGTGGTTGTAGCTCCCATGGCTTCTCTCTTGGCCTGCTTTTCTCCCTCCTTGCAGCTTTCCTCAGATGATCCACATTCCTGGATTCTCCAACCTTCTGGGGTCCAATATATCTTCGGCTTTACAATCACAGCTTCACAAACTGCCCTCCCTGGATCACAATGTCTGTCCTTCCAAGTCTTCTGAAATCTGGATGGAAGCCTTTCTAACCCCACAACTCTTACATTTTATGTGTGCCTACAACCAGTACTACATGGATGATGCCAAGATCTGATGCCAGTTAGAGCAGTAGCTAGGCTTCCCTCTCTCTTGGCTGTGGGGGTCGAGTGCCTGGATTGCGGAGCACTCTGAACCCAATCCCAAGAAACAAATTCTCAAGGGCACTGTTATTCTGGAACATAGTGCTGTCTTCTCAAAGCAAAGTTTCTCACCTTTGTAACCCTGAGGCTTCAAATGCTAGAGTCCTGCTTTTTTTTTGTGATGCCTTCAGGCTGTCCTTCCCATCATTCTATTTTTTCTCAGCAATCAAGTTCTCTTCTCTTTTCTTTCTTTCTTTTTCTTTTCTTTTTTTTTTTTTTTGTGGAACCAGGGATTGAAGTCAAGCCCTTGCACTTGCCAGGCAAGCGCTTATTCTACTGAGCCATTCTTCTGCTCTATCTTTAGAAAAAATTTTTTTAATCTTTATTTATTTGGTACAGGGTCTCATTACACAGTTTGGACTCATAATGATCTTCCTGTCTCAGCCTCCCCAGAGCTGGGATTATAGGTGTGCTCCACCGTGCCTGGTTTCAGTAGCTGGCATGGTGCTCCTGTGGCTGGCATGGCATGCGGAACCAGGGATCAAATCTGGATCCTTGCACTTGCCAAGCAGGTGCTTAGGCCACAGAGCTATCTCCCTATCCCTCTCATGCTCTATCTTTGTAGTGGTTCTGGCTCTTCCTTTCTGGCCAAACTCATGACATTTTGAATCATTCTGGTGAGCTTTTGCTTTTGATTCAACGTATCTCTATCTGGCTGAAGTCCCCAACATGTCACCACCTCAACAGTATACTGTCTTAAAATTTTTTCTACAAACTTAATTAGTCCACTGCCCTGAATCTTAGTTTCAGGTAAAGTCTCTGGACAAAAGCAAAATGCAGACAAACTTTCTGCTACAAATAACACACATGGTCTGAAAAGTCCAACAGCCAACACGCTCCTCATTCTTAACTTAAATCTCCTAAGCCTGCTTTTCATCAGCTACATTTCTTTTTTTTTTTTTTTTGTCTTTAGCAAAAAAAATTTTTTTTTTGGTCATAATTTCATCAGCTACATTTCTATCAGCATTCTAGTCTTCTCAATTCTGAGCAGAATTTCCCATCAAGTACAGTTTAAAGCATTCCAGGGATGCTTCTTTAGCTAGCATCACTAAACCTTTCCAGACTCTTTCCAGGAGCCAGTTCCAAAGGCTCCTGAACCACCTGGTCAGATAACATTATAGCAACAACTCTTCTGGTACCAAAATCTATCTCAGTTACTTTTCACATTGGTAAGACCAAATACCTGACACCCAAAGTAAAAGGAGGAAAAGTTTATCATAGCTCAGAGTTTTTAGAGGTTTCAGTCCTGGCTTCATGGCAGGGCAGTGTGGCAGCAAAGAAATGGTCCATGGCAAAGCAGGGCAGGCAGAAGGCAGCAAGCAGCAATGCCAGCAGTAGCCCTTATTTTGAACCTTATATTCCATCCATCTTATATTCATGGTGGGGCACCTTTAATCCCAGCATCACACACCCTGGATTCAATCACACCTGAACAGCTTCACCTATGATTATATGGCTTTTGGGGGACATCCATATACAAGCCATAGCAATAGGTTAGATTTCTCTTTATTCTGTCTTCCAAGTCACTATCATGGCCACTTTACTAGATCTGGCCATACAGGTACTTGAGACAGCTTTTTCTCAAACCTATTGGTGCTAACTTACATCTGTGATTCTATTCATTAAAGTTTTCTTTACTCCTTGTTAGCTAATCCCATTTTATAAAAATCCCTTGTTATAGTTAATAATTCTTTATATGAAGCATACCGCTGTTCAAATTACCATGTGGTATCTATGTCACTCCTCATAGCAATAGCTACATATTTTGGGCAATTAGTTTGTCTTCCCTGTCCAGAGGGACTTGGTACCACCACCACCTGCCTCATCCATGGGCATGACTTTTCACAGGTGACCCACTTCCCAGAGAAGGAGATGCCACAGGAGGTACCCAACATGGAGCCATTGGCTGTATCACACTATAAAGTTGTACAGATCTGACTTCATGAGTAAAATAAGCTATACATTGATAATTACCATAAGGCTTTATTGATACAAAAGTATTTTTTCACAATAAGATGTTGTATAACTCTACCTGTAATAATCACCATTTTGGGATTACATATATATATATATATATATATGTTACTGGGAATCAAACTCAACCCCACACTTGCCAGGCAGGTGCTGTGCCACTGAGCCTAATCCCTGGCCTCCAATCACAATATATTTTCTTTTTTGGCAGAACCAGGGATTGAAATTAGGTCCTTGCACTTGCCAGGCAAACGCTGATTCTACTGAGCCATCTCCCCAGCCCCTGCAATATATTTTCTACCATTATTTTCATCATAAAACCTTCCTAGAAGTCTTGATCCTTCTAATTATTTTTCATTTATTTATTTATTTATTTATTTTTTGTGGTACTGGGGATTGAACTCAGGACCCTGCGCTTGCCAGGCAAGCACTTATTCTACTAAGCTATCTCCCCAGCCCAAATTATTTTTCATTTAAATTATTGCATTTTTCACATACCTTTGTTAGAAATAAGTATGGTCATTTAATTATGCTAATCTCTATCCCTTAAAAAATTAATCTTTAACACATTAAAAGATGGTGGTTGGGGGCCGACCTTATAGTTCAGCAGACTAAAGTGCCTGAGCGCAGCAGCTGGGGTTCAATCCCTGGCATGCTGTGCTGGCCCCGCCCACAGAGTGTGCTGAGACAGTGATTGAGACTGAGCATGGTGATGCATGCCTATAATCCCAGCACTTGGGAGGCTGAAAACAGGAAAATCACTATGAGTCTGATCTATATAGTGAGACCATGTAGACCCTATACTAAATATAGAAAAACCAAAAAAAAGCACAAACCAAGATGGTGGTTGGGACACAAAGATGCATATATTTAAGAAACTGTTTTTCCATAGATATAATTAATTACATCACAAAACCAGAAATTATATTTTTCCCCCATAAAAATTATAAACTCTTTTAAAATACACACGTGCTTTTTCAAGACACTAAGGCACTGTGGAACAAAACATAGTGGCTGTTTCTTTGGCTTAGAGCTTGGCTTTCTGCTTGAAAGACTCCTTCAGCCTCTTGACAGTGGAAAGATCACTGACTCCTTCAGGCCAGTTGTCATGATCTATTAAGAGAGAAAGTTCACGTCACTTGTGAATCTGTTAACTTCCTTTGTCTTTAGTTTCTACTCAGCCCTCTAGTTACTGTCCCTCATTTATCCAAGCAAGAAAAAGAAAGAAATCCTTTGGACAAATGGCAAAGGTTCCACAAAGGGATTTGCATTTGAATCAGCAGCTTTTCCTAATTTGATAGGAGATTTTTTTCCCCCCACCTGGTACTGGGGATTAAACTCAGGACCTTGCGCTTCCCAGGCAAGTGCTTATTCTACTGAGCTATCTTCCCCAGCCCAGCTTTTCCTAATTTGAGAAGGCTACTCTTCTTTTTTTTTTTTTAATTTTATTTATTTATGTATATGTGTGTGTGTGGCCAGCTCAGCCCACCGGGGGGCGGGGCTGGCTGGCATGTGCTGGGGGATTGAACCACGGTCCCTGTGCTTTGCCAAGCTTGTTCCAAGTAGGTGCTTCAGACCACTGAGCCATCTCACCAGCCCCAGAAAGCTACTCTTCTAAGCCTGAATCTTCTTATCTACTGAAGGGAACAATAACTATCTTTTAAACTTGCCAGTGTTAAATGTGACATCATTTCTATAGAGCCTGGCATACTGCAGACATTCAATAAGTTGCATTTCCTCAATCCTTCAATACATAGTATTTAATTTTTGGGACACCCATAACAATGGAAGGGAATATAATAGATTTATTTCCTTTTTAAATTCTTTTTTTT